GTAAAGCACAGGGAACTATATTCAATATCCTGTAATAAACCATAATGGAAAAGAATATATATATGACAGAATCACTTTGCTATACAGTAGAGACTAACATTGTAAATCGGTTATACTTCAAAGAAATAAACTTTAAAAAGTAAAATTTTAGAAAAGCTACACAGTAGTATATATAGTATGATCCCATATGTGTAAAACAGACAACAATGTATATGTTTGAGATCTATCTATCTATCTATCTATCTATCTGTCGGGTTGGCCAAAAGGTTCATTCGGTTTTTCCATAAGATGGCTCTGGTAGGGCTTAGTTGTCTTTAACTTCATTCGAAGCAATTTTGTTAGATTGTAATGTGACAGCTGTCATATCAGCATGCATTAAAAAAAATCAAAATTGGTGAATTTTTGTATAGCCATTATTAAATTGAAGATGGGAGAAAAAAGCAACGTTTTCAGCATATTATGCTTCATTATTTCAAGACAGGTAAAAATGCAACTGAAACGCAAAAAGAGAGTTGTGTAGTGTATGGAGAAGGTTCTGTGACTGATCGAACGTGTCAAAAGTGGTTTGCAAAATTTCATGCTGGAGATTTCTCACTGGACGATGCTCCATGGTCGGGTAGACCAGTTGAAGTTGATAGCGATCAAACCGAGACATTAATTGAGAACAATCAACTTTATACCGTGCAGGAGATAGCCGACATACTCAAAATATCCAAGTCAAACGTTGAAAATCATTTGCAATAACTTGGTTATGTTAATCACTTTGAAGTTTGGGTTCCACATAAGTTAAGTGAGAAAAACCTCCTTGACCATATATCCTCACGCGATTCTCTACTGAAACGTAACAAAGTTTCTGTTTTTAAAACAAATTGTAATGGGTGATGAAAAGTGAATGCTGTACAATAATGTGGTATAGATGAGATTGTGGGGCAAGTGAAATGAACCACCACCAACCACACCAAAGGCCGGTCTTCAACCAAAGAAGGTGATGTGTATATGGTGGGACTGGAAGGGAGTCCTCTATGATGAGCTCCTTCCAGAAAACCAAATGATTAATCCCAACAAGTACTTCTCCCAAGTAGACCAACTGAAAGCAGCACTTGATGAAAAGCATCCAGAATCAGTCAAGAGAAGATGCATAATCTTCCATCAGGATAACGCAAGACCTCATGTTTCTTTGATGACCAGGCAAAAATTGTACAGCTTGGCTGGGAAGTTCTGATTCATCCGCCATATTCACCAGACATTGCACCTTTGGATTTCCATTTAATTTGGTCTTTACAAAATTCTCTTAATGGAAATCATTTCCTTTCCCTGGAAGATTGTAAAAGGCACCTGGAACAGTTCTTTGCTCAAAAATATAAAAAGTTTTGGGAAGAGGGAATTATGAAGTTGCCTGAAAAATGGCAGAAGGTAGTGGAACAAAAGGGTGAATACGTTGTTCAATAAAGTTCTTGGTGAAAATGAAAAATGTGTCTTTTATTTTTACTTAAAAACCGAAGGAACTTTTTGGCCAACCCAATATCTCTCTATCTTAAATATTCGTAAATAGTATCTGGAAAGACATAAGAGAAGCCCCTAAGGGGTGACTGTGAGAACCAGGATGAGAGGAGAGGGACTTCATACCTTTTTGTTTTGTTTGATTGTTTCTTTCCTTTTTTAATTTTCTCGTTCCAATCTTTTTACACCCTCATCTTTGCTTTTGTTTTCCTCTCCTTTTTTTAAATAGCCTGATCTCTCTCCACATCATTCTTTAAGTTCACATAACAGTACAAATACATATAGGGAGCTTTGAGGGGGGGTCATTTTTATAAAAATAGAAAACACTATAAATATCTTTCTGGAACTTGCTTTCCTCACCATGGACATCTATTTCTACAGGTAGATCTAGTTATTTCTTTTTTTAAATTTTTTAATAAATTTATTTATTCATTTATTTATTTTTGGCTGCGTTGGGTCTTTATTGCTGCTCACTGGCTTTCTCTAGTTGCGGCGAGTGGGGCTACTTTTTGTTGTGGTGTGTGGGCTTCTCATTGCGGTGACTTCTCTTTGCTGTGGAGCATGGACTCTAGGCGCTCAGGCTTCAGTAGTTGTGGCATGCGGGCTCTAGAGCTCAGGCTCAGTAGTTGTGGCGCACGGGCTTAGTTGCTCCACGGCATGTGGGATATTTCCAGACCAGGGCTCGGACCTGTGCCCCCTGCATTGGCAGGCAGACTCTTAACCACTGCACCACCTGGGAAGTCCTCTAGTTCTTTCTTTTTAATAGCTGTGTACTATGCATACCATAATGTAATGGATTCTTATCTGTGGAAGATGTTTTTTGTTTTTGCTATAACATATTGCAGTGAATATCCTTGTACATCTATCTTTGTATAATCTTTGTGTATTATGTAATACATCTGGGATATGAATCAGAGAATTAAAAGTATTAAAAAAGTTTGATTGATATTGCCAATTGTCTATTGTAAAGGTTATACCACTTCAGCAGTGTGCATTGTTAAAACCCAAATCCTAATTTAAATACAGTTTTTTCTAAAAGGAGCTTAGTAGAATTACTGGTTCCAATCTATGGCAGGTAAAGGATAAAGTCAGCCTAGAACAAGGAAGTCCTCAAAGACTAATGGGGTCTTGCCAAAAGGATACAAAGAGCAAGGTGGAAGAGGCTCTGCTGGCCAAATTTGGGGTAATTTGAACATCAAACGAATAATTGTAATTGCACTACATTGAATTTTAAAAAGTCAATTAATCTCTAGTGATAGCAAACAAAAGGTGGTAGAGAGAGAGAGTAAAGCTCTTTTTTTTTTTTAGAAAAGAAGAGTACAAGGGCTTCTGTGGTGGTGCAGTGGTTAAGAATCCGCCTGCCAATGCAGGGGACACGGGTTCGAGCCCTGGTCTGGGAGGATCCCACATGCCGCGGAGCAACTAAGCCCGTGCTCCACAACTACTGAGCCTGTGCTCTAGGGCCCGCGTGCCACAACTACTGAGCCTGCGAGCCACAACTACTGAGGCCATGTGCCACAACTACTGAGCCTGTTAGAGCCCGTGTGCCACAACTCCTGAAGCCTGCGTGCCTAGAGTCCGTGCTCCGCAACAAGAGAAGCCGCTGCAATGAGAAGCCCGCGCACTGCAATGAAGAGTAGCCCCTGCTTGCTGCCACTAGAGGAAGCCCGCACGCAGCAATGAAGACCCAATGCAGCCAAAAATAAATAAATAAAATAAATTTATAAAAGAAAAAAGAAGAGTACAAGCTAATAAATATAGAGGATTGACATTCACCATTTCACAACCCCCAACATAATATGTAAAATTAAATTCAGGCATGGAGGCTAAAACACTAGGTGATAAGTTGCTGAACTGTTCACATTGTGCTACAGATTACTTACTAATCACAAGAGGAAAAAAATATTTAACTTTACACTGGAGAAACCCTGCAGTTACTATGTTAACCAAATAATCAAACTCATTATTGCTAATAGCGGGACATCCTGATATCATGCGCCATTTTGTTGGGTGCAATAAGAAGTACCCAATTCACTTACATAGTATTCTTTAAAAAATGTTTAATGTCATAAGGGTCTAATCAACCCTTATGATTATCTAAAATTACCAGCAATAGTTAGAACTGTAGATGATGTGTGACCTTACGTAGGTTGTTAGTAACTACTCTGAGTCTCAGAGCCATCATTTATAAAACTGACAATGAATCAAATAAATGTATGACATTAACCTAAATATACTTTGTTGAATTTGTGTAGTTTGTTTACACCTAAAAATAGTTTGTGTACAGTAAGAATTTAACATATCAGTTTACCTCCTGTCAGAATCCATTCATAGCCACCAAGTATATAGCTGAATGAAAACTACATTTCTTTTTTCCAGAAGTAGATTCCTTATGTAATTACTTTATGTAATCTGATGGCATGTTTCAAGGATTCCCTATACTTGTTTAGATCCATAAGCTAATAAAGTCCCAAGTATGCTAGAAAGTTTTCTAATCTCGAAGGTTCAAGGGAGATTTCAGGTAGGAGAGCATGGATTAGAGCATTTCTGTACTTCTTAGACATTTAAATTGACTTCTATGTAATAAACAATTTTATAGATCAAAAATGATCAAATATCAGCAGTTTCCTGTAGCTCGACCTAACGCATGCTTTAGTGGCAGAGGCTTAGTAGTACAACATATTTATCTGCCAAACAATCATTTTTCTCCCTTATGTTGTACAGTAAGATTTTCTCAAAGGAGGAGAGAGGAAGGATCTGGACTGATCCAAGTTTGAAGGGAATTGGGATGTGGAGTGGTATTCTAGTTATCTTAGGCTGTTTCTTCATGTCATAGGCTCCACTCCCACCCCCCATCCCCATGTACAATGGATGTTCTTTTTAGTCACTTCTTACCTCTTGTCTCTCTTTTCTAGGTAGTGAGAAATGAGGTAAAAGGAACTAACATGTTTCTATATCTTCTTTTTCCACTCTAAACTCTAGACTGGTCTTTTGGAATAGGCAGTTGCAGGGTCTTGAAAACTTGAGATTTCCAGTTGCTCTGGTTCTCTTCCAAAGATAGCACTTAGAAATAATGATACCTTTTTTTTTTTACCCCAGTTACTCGTAGAATATTGAAGGTAATATAGGTTGAGGGACTTCAAGTTCATTTTCTTTTATAGAATATGAACAATGGAATAATAACTCATAAGAGATTGGGAAATAAAGTTTCAGACTGTAAAGGGAGTATTGAACTTATAAAATCATAACAAGATTCCTCCCTGGGATATGGCCCTTATAACAAGGGCCTGTAAGAAAGTGACTTATCTTCCTTAAAGAATGTGTTCTGGGCAACCATGTACAGTTTTACCATTTCCTCAAACAAGAAGAAATCAATTTATTGGAGGACCTTCCCCCTTAAGGAAATGTGGTCAAACCTGTATATAAATAGCTTTATTAAAATCCTTAGTTCTTGGCAAGCCGAATGATTGCCACTGTGAAAATTATTGTTTGTGTCCTAGACAGCTGCTCAGGAAGCAATCCTGCACGCATCTGGAAATGGCATGCCTTCACCATCTAAGGATTACTGCATGCTATATAACCCTCATTGGACAGCTCTTCCAAGTACCCTAGAAAATGCAGTAAGTAAATCACAGCTTCTATTTATTTATAAACATAAAAATATTGAATGGTAAGAATGAGTGATTATTATGTTTTAGAATGTAAACTAGTTATGTTATGATTAATAAATATTTATTGCTTTTGCTTAAGTATTTCTGTGAGAAAAACAAGTTAGATAATAAAAATACTTGCCTCAAAATAAATAAATAAATAAATAAAAATAAAAATACTTGCCTCAAAGCCTGATTGTCATCAAATATTTCTAATTTAAAAGAACCTTGGGACTTCCCTGGTGGCACAGTGGTTAAGAATCCAGCTGCCAATGCAGGGGACACGGGTTCGAGCCCTGGTCTGGGAAGATCCCGCATGCCACGGAGCACCTAAGCCTGGGCTCCACAACTACTGAGCCTCCACTCTAGAGCCTGTGAGCCACGCGAGCCACAACTACTGAGCCCACGTGCCACAACTACTGAAGCCCGCGTGACTAGAGCCCGTGCTCCACAACAAGAGAAGCCACCATAATGAGAAGCCCACGTACCGCAATGAAGAGTAGCCCCCGCTCACCACAACTAGAGAAAGCCCGTGTGCAGCAACGAAGACCCAACACAGCCAAAAATAAATAAATAAATAAAATTTAAAAAAAAAAAGAACCTTGTATTAAACCAATGTTGACACTTTGTCATTGAATGCATTTAGGGTGAAATATGATATTTATAATATTAAAGACATTTCTTCTTTCCAGACTTCCATTAGTTTGATGAATCTGACTACCACACCACTGTGCAACCTTTCTGATATTCCTCCTGATGGAATAAAGAACAAAGCAGTTGTGGTACAGTGGGGAACCTGCCATTTTCTTGAAAAAGCCAGAATTGCACAAACAGGAGGTGCTGAAGCATTGTTGGTTGCCAATAACAGTGTCCTCGTAAGTTATAAAACTAGAATAACTTCTTTTGAGTTCATGATATCAAATTTCACAGGAATTGAACTATCTTCTTTGTGGTTTAGGGGCTGAGTTTTGAATAATCTGATGGTAGGATTCTTTTTAAATAAACATTCTGGTTATGATAGGTGTTTAATTGGAAAATTTTGTTTCTTTTCCATTCCTAAAGTAGACAAGACTATGTTAGGAATGTGTGTGTGTGTGTATGTGTGTGTAAAGTATCAGTTTAAGTTTATGCTAAAAGGATTCCAGTTTGAGAACTCTTACTATAACATTAAGAACACATGAAACTTTGTTTTATTACTTTAAAAAGATGTAATGTTTGTACTTAATGAATAACTTGTATTTTATTCTGTAAATACACTAGTAGTTCATAAGTCTTCACAATATGATTTTTTCTTTTAGTTTCCTCCCTCAGGGAACAAATCTGAATTTCATGATGTGAAAATACTGATTGCATTTATAAACCACAAGGACTTTAAAGATACGAAGCAGGTAAATTAGTAATTATATATTAGATAAAGTTTATAAATAGTACAGCTTTTTACTTTTAACCATGATATTTAATTTAAATTATTATATATGTTCCATTTGCTAACAGGAAGTTATAAAGGCCTATCAAGTTTTTATTTGGAAAGTATGCACCCCCCCATTGAGCACAAGGTGTTTCAGAGTCCTGACTTTAGAAGGGATATTTCTTTACTTTGACCTCTTTAAAAATCTTTGTGTTGTATCATTTAACTTTAAATCCTTGAACAAAATGTGATGTGTGGAACATTGCACTTTCAAGATTTAATAAACCAAAGCATAGCCTCATAATTCTGACAAGAGACTATATATCATGTTGTCAAAACAGTTCTGTTATTCTTGGCTATCTTATGTATAGTGTCCATTCCAGAATGAAATTGGAATATTGCTGCCATATGCTATAGTAAAAAGAAAACTAATTCCAGTGTATTAACTGTTATTTTGCCTTTCAGACTCTCGGAGATAACATTACTGTGAAAATGTATTCTCCATCGTGGCCTAACTTTGACTATACTATGGTGGTTATTTTTGTAATTGCTGTGTTCACTGTGGCATTAGGAGGATACTGGAGTGGGCTAATTGAATTGTAAGCTTAATTAAACTTCATTGTTTTTAAGATAAATGGTTAAAAATTGTTTGTTAATCATTTTATCGTGTAACAACGCATAAAGTTCTGCTTGTTCTTAGAATATAGTGCTGACCATTAGATTGCCAGGTTTGTCCTCATACAGGTCTTTAACTTTTCACTGAGAAGAAGGGAGTCATAGGTTCCTCTTGTTCTTCTGCTGGGAAGGAAACATTGAAATTTCACCAGAGACTCTTAAATTAAAATGTTTAATTACCTCTCCCAGAAAAGGTGGAGATAGTTAACATTCTAATGTGCCTATTTAGATTGGAAGAAAATAAACAAGAGAAGGTGGGAAGTTTTTCAGCTCCTCCTGAGTTGAGTCATTACAGTGTGACCTCATCATTCTATTTAATGCTTTAGTAATTCTAAGGATATTAATTAAACATGTCCATATTTTAATTTAAATATAGAAATGCCAAATGTATGTGAAATTTAGATTTCTCTATTTAATAACAACCTAGGCTCAGTCTTCTTACAGTTACGTACCTTTGGCTATAGACTAAAGCAAGCAATGTAGTTTATTTTTTTAAAGATTTATTTATTTATTTAATTTATTTTTGGCTGCATCGGGTCTTAGTTGTGACACGCAGGATCTTCGTTGAGCCGTGCGGGATCTTTTGTTGGGGCACAGGCTTCCCTCTAGTTGTGGCGCACAGGCTCCAGAGCACGTGGGCTCTGTAGTTTGCGGCATGCGGGCTCTAGTTGTGGTGCGTGAGCTCAGTAGTTGTGGCACACAGGCTTAGTTGCCCCGCGGCATTTGGGATCTTAGTTCCCTGACCAGGGATCGAACCCACATTCCCTGCACTGTAAGGCAGATTCTTTACCACTGGACCACCAGGAAAGTCCCAGCAATGTAGTTTAGAAGGATCAGTTCATATTTATAACTCTGAGTAAAAAATTGTGCTCAGAGCATATTATTTTATGCATAAAGGACGATATATTCACTTGTGAATTGATCTATAGATTTCATTAAAAAGGGCTTACTTGACGCTAGCCGAAGCTAATAAGCTTATTTGTAATTTCTTAAAGTACTAAAATTTGATTGACTTTCATCAAGAGAGAAGTCTAGGGTTTAACAGGTGTAGATTCCTAGAGTATTGAGCTTAAAATATTTTACATATTTGGAAAACACATTTCAGCATGTATTAGTCACATGATTTCACATGAGTAAGCATTATTTTTCTTCATTATTAATCTTTATAAAGCATAGTATGTAAGATCTCCAAAATCATTTTCTAGATTATATGGTGAAACTTTATAAATAATTTCCCAAAAGCTACTGATTCATTGAAAATGTTTTTCCATTTAATATATATCTTCACTATACTTACATTATAATGTAAATTGTTTCTTCTCTAGAGTAGTGCTTCTCAAACTGTAATGTGCATACAAACTGTCTTGAGAGCTCATTAAAATTTTTAAAAACTCAGATTTAGTAGGCTTGGGATGCGTGCTAAGACTCTGCATTTTTGACAAACTGGCCCGTGGACCACACTTTGAGTTAGCAAGGCAAGCTTCATATACATGTCAGGGCAGGCTCCTCCTCAAGAAAATTGGAGGTGGAAGAGCAGCACGTATAAGTTCTTTTATTCATAAAACATGATGGGCAAAAGCAAAGAATGTGTTGCCTTCAGTAGCCGGGTTGGGAGAGGAGATGTCCTTTACCTGCAGGATTATGGATTTTGAAATTGAGGAGGCTTATTCTAAGAGCAGGATAAAGATAGAAAGAACTAAGTGTGTGTGTTGTTGGTGGTGGGGGTGACAGTATAGAGAAAGAGAGTATGAATCAGTAATAAAATGGAGAAAGTTTCATAAAAAGTAGAATTATTGAGGACATAAGGACTATTCGCAACAACATGGCTGGATTATGATGGCATTATGCTAAGTGAAATAAGTCAAACAAAGAAATACCAAATGATCTCATTTATGTGTGGAATCTTAAAAAAAAAAAACAACTCATAGAGCAGAGAACAGATGGGTGGTTACCACAGGTGGGGAGGTGGGGAGGGGGCAAAATGGGTGAAGGTACAAACTTCCAGTTATAAAATAAATAAGTCCTGGGGATGTAATGTACAGCATGGTGACCATAGTTAATAATACTGTACTGCATATTTGAAAGTTACTAAGAAAGTAGTTCTTAAAAGTTCTCATCACAAGAAAAAAAATGTTTTAACTGTGTGGTGATGGATGTGAACTAGACTTATTGTGGTGATCATTTTGCAATATATACAAATATCAAATTGTGTCATACATCTGAAACTAATATGATATGTCAATTATATCTTAATTTAAAAAATAACACAAGGACTGTTATTTAGCAAGCAAAGAGAGTTAGACTGAAAGAAAAGGGAAAAGAGAATAAGGCTTAGGGAATGGAAAATTTATCAGAACAGGATCTCATAACCCAGAATTACCCTGCCAAATGAAAGAGGTACTTTTTGCAAAAAGGAAAAATGCCTTGGTTCCGTATAAAGACTTTTCAGTAGAGAGTTAAAGTCTATTATAATGAGTCCTTCTTATAACTGGTTCTCATCATAAACTCAAGATGGCAGGAACGAAAGCTTAGCTTCTCATTGCATGTGGCTCTAGAGCTGATTTAAGAGTACGATTTTTTAAAAAGATGAATTATATTATTTTAACATGATTTAAATCTAGTATATGTTTTCCTTCAAGAAATTGCCTGGTGCTTTTTAGTACACTGAATATGAATATATGACTCTTTGATTATTATGGCTTATATATGTTCTGTGATAGAAATGTCTTTAAATGGATCTGTTTGCAATGATAGATACCAAAGGTTGGCATGTTTTCCCACTCAGGTACTACTTTCATTGAAACTTTTGTTAATACCCTGTCATCCAGCTCTACAGTTTCAGGCAGGTACTGTGTGTCTCTCCCCAGGCCCTCTCCCAGCTCTTTTCCCAGGCTGCCTCCCTAGAGTCACAGATGCCTAGAATAGTCACCATCCCAATCCACAGTTTTCTAATAAGAAAGTGGCATGTTGGTAAATAAGCAGTTTGGCAAATGTACAGTTTCATAGAAATAAATCTTTTTTTAACCTAAAGTTTGTATTGAGCCCAGACCTGATGAAAAGGGTCAGGATATACGAAAAGGGAACAGAATTTAGTAGACCAGAGTTGAAGGAACTGGAGCTGGAAAAGTATGTAGTGGGTTCCATATAACTGGGAAGAGACAATTAGGTGACAGAACAGAGACTCACTGCTCAACAAAAGAAGCTTGTGACCCTTTCCTCTTCAACTCCTGTGTCTGCCTTTTATTAGCTGTGTGACCCAGCAATGTTGTTGGGAGAATTAGAAACTATTTTGCTATCTTATATCAAGGTAGGACAAAGCTATGTCTTGAACTCCTTTTGAATCCTTCATAGTATGTCAATGAGCCCTGAACAGACATATAGAAAATACTGAGTTGACTGAGAGAAGAATTTAGTGTTTTACATTGAAGAGAAGCTAATTTTAAAAGTACTTTCCTATCTGCAAGTTGGTAATATTAAGTGTGTAAAAAGAATTGGTTATCATTTGAAACTTATTACGTCAATGTAGTTTCCAAATTAGATAATATACACATTAATTTGTTTATGTAATAAATGTCATCTGTTTCAACAATTTTGCCTCCAGAAAAAAATGCTATTTCAAAAGTTAGTGGTTAATAACAGATCAACTCTTGAGGGTAGAATTATAGGGAGTTTTTACTTTCTAGATTAAATATTTCTTTTTGGTGTGTAATTTTTAAGTATATTACTTTGTAATCAGAAACAAATCTAAGTTGGTGTTAGAGATAGATTTTTAAAATAGCTATACTTGGCAGAGATTTGCTGAAGTTCCTGTGTATGTTTATGCAGGGAAAGCATGAAGGCAGTGACAAACACTGAAGATAGAGAAATGAGGAAAAAGAAGGAAGAATATTTTACTTTTAGTCCTCTAACAGTTGTAATATTTGTGGTCATCTGCTGTGTTATGATGGTCTTACTTTATTTCTTCTACAAATGGTTGGGTAAGAAATCATATTTTATATTTGCTACTTTTAGCATACATCTTTTTTTTTTTTTTTTTTTTTTTTTTTTTCTGTATGGGGGCCTCTCACTGTTGTGGCCTCTCCCATTGCGGAGCACAAGCTCCGGACGTGCAGGCCCAGTGGCCATGGCTCACGGGCCCAGCCGCTCCGCGGCATGTAGGATCCTCCCAGACCGGGGCACAAACCCGTGTCCCCTGCATCGGCAGGCGGACTCTCAACCACTGAGCCACCTGGAAAGCCCCTAGCATACATCTTTTTATTTACTTTGCCAGATTTATCTTTTCCTTTAAGGCATTCTATCTGGAAAACTTAAGTGAATAGTTAAAGAGTGATATGAACTTTTTAAACTGTCAGAAGTGTTAGGCCCCTATTACTCTGGGATTAGAAAAAATATATTCCAATTAAAAAAATACTGTGTCCGGTGTGGGGGTGGGGGTGGGATGAACTGGGAGGTTGGGATTGACATGTATGCACTACTATGTATGAAATAGATGACTAATAAGAACCTGCTGTATAGCACAGGGAACTCTACTTCACTTTGCTGTGCAGTAGAAACTAACACAACATTTTAAAACAACTATACCCCAATAAAAAAAATTTTTTTAAAAGAAAAGAAAAACAATTTAAAAATAGTAAAAATTAAAAAATAGTGTGTCCTACAGATGTAGAGAACAAACGTATGGACACCAAGGTGGGAAGGGAGGATGGGGTGAATTTGGAGGTTGGGATTGACATATATGCACTAATATGTATAAAATAGATGACTAATAAGAACCTGCTGTATAGCACAGGGAACTCTACTAATGCTCTGTGGTGACCTAGATAGGAAAGAAATCCAAAAAAGAGGGGATGTATGTATACGTATAGCCGATTCACTTCGCTGTACAGCAGAAGCTAGCACAACATTGTAAAGCAACTATACCCCAATTTTAAAAAAAAAAAGGAAAAAAATATACTGTGCCTTGAAAGAACACTTCTTCATGGATGACTTGAAAGAATTGCTATGGCCCTTAAGTTTCCCTCTCTGCAGTTAAAGCATAATAGGCCAGTATCTAAGCAGCAGACTAAGGATTTCTTGGTGGCTATATATAGTTATATGAAATAGAAGATTATTCAAATTATGGATTTATTGCTTCTGCTTACCCCCAAAGTGTTGTTTGTTCTTTTTGTCATTTTGCAAACCAAGATGTTGTATTGCTCCAATTTTGTTTTACTTATATAAACATTTCAGATCATACTACGTCTAAAAACACACAGGTACTTGCCTGTGGTCTAGAGAATAAATTATACTTTTTCCTTTAAGAAGGTAGGATAATGGCTTGCCCATCCCCTGGCCTGTCTTCTTAGTGGTCTGATAGGATGGAAATTTGCTATTTGTGGCCAACATATAGCAAAAAGAGGAGGGAGCCCAGGGAAAGAGAGAGTGTGCCTGATGAGAATTAAAAATCTTTGTAAAAACCACCACAGGCTACAATGCTTATTTAGAGAATATTAGTATAAGTTTCTGGACTAGAAAAATGAGGCCCCAAGGTTAGTTTCAGCTTATTGTTCAATTTCTCCTGTCCTATGGCAGCAGTTTTAAAACTATACTTAAGACATATATTTCCAATTAGAAAAAATTTTCTTTGAATATCACTCATATTTCAATATGTTGCTGGGAGAGTAGATACCAGGGTGATATTTGTATTAGGTCATCATTGCACAGCTAATTTTTCTGATTTAATTCTCAGCTTTCAACTGTTTGTGTCTGACCCTCAGTTGATATATATAGAGGTCTTTGACAGAAAAAAGAGATTTTTCTACCTTACCCTAAAGCATGTTTTCATTTTTGGTAAGGAATTTCCTTAAACTCATCCATATTTAAAAAGTTAACCCTGCTTATAACTAATTTTCAATGTAGGAGGAAAATCAATTAACCTCATGGTTATCCTAGGACATGGGATTTAATTATGACTCTGACAATGGTGTGTGATATTGCAAGATTTAATATACTTTCAAATGGTTCGTTATGGCTAAAATTGCTGCCATTTCTTAATATGTTCAATGTACAAAATTGCAGGTTCTCCTTACCATTTTATGTTGTCATATACAAGAAAGTAACTAAAGATAGTTATATTAACCAAATTCTTTCTCATGTCAAATCATTTTCTTAGGTATAGTATGACATTGAATGAGACACCTTAAAACTCTCTTAGGGCCTCCAGAGCATGATTTCCACCAGAGTTTTAAATCTTGGGTTGGAGACCTTTGGTGGATGACTAACCAAACTCAACTTGGCAACCTTTGACTGTCAATCTTACTACTCAGATTACCATATGTATCCAATAATAACAATAACGAATAATAAGGAAACGAAAAAATAATTTGTCCAAGATCACCAATTAGAAAGTGTCTATCCCTTATTTACTGTCTCTAGTTTACTCTTTTCTCACATACAAAACAGAGTTATAGTTTTCTGAAATCTAGTGGAATTTGCAAAATTCAGTTAAAATTTGTATTTCCATTGTGAAATTTTGAGAAAGTTCAGAAAACAAACACTTTTAGAGTACAATAATTTCTCCCCCTTTTTAACAATAGCGAGATCAAGTGTTTTTAATTTTAAATAATTCTCAAATAAGTATAGCTAATATAGAAAAACATTTGTGAATTTTAACTACCTTAGTATCGTATCTAGACAAAGAGGCTTGTTTAAGTGGATTTAGTTTTACACATATAAAGTTGTTAGAGATAAATTCCACTGTAGGAAAATATAGACATCATGATTAACGTCTAAGGTAGGTGTCAGTTCTCATCCTTAAGCTGCAATTTAAAAAGCATTTATAATGTTTTATTAATTGCTCCATTCGTTACATTTAAATTAAATACAAATGTCTACAACTCACTTTATAGACATCTTTAGCAAACATGTGAGTTTGAATCATTGAATGATAGAAAATGCAGAGCCACTGACAGAAATAGTAGCAATATTTTCTTAAATCAGTCTCCGAAGGCAAAAGAAATAAAAGCAAAAATAAACAAATGGGACCTAATCAAATTTATAAGCTTTTGCACAGCAAAGGAAACCATAAACAAAATGAAAAGACAGCCTATGGACTGGGAGAAAATATTTGCAAAAGATGCAACCAACAAGAGGTTAATATCCAAAACACACAAACAGCTCATACAACTCAATATCAAAAAAACAAACAACCTAATCCAAAACTGGGCAGAAGACCTAAATAGACATTTCTCCAAAGAAGACATTCAGATGGTCAATAGGCACTTGAGAAGATGCTCAACATCGCTAATTATTAGAAAACTGCAAATCAAAACTACAATGAGGTTTCATCTCACACCTCTCAGAATGACCATCTTCAAAAAGTCTACAGATAAATGTTGGAGAGGATGTGGAGAAAAGGAAACCCTCCTACACTGTTGGTGGGAATGTAAATTGGTGCAGCCACTATGAAAACAGTATGGAGGTTCCTTAAAAACTAAAATTAGAGCTACCATATGATCCAGCAATTCCACTTCTGGGTATTTATTCTAAGAAAACAAAAACTTAATTAGAAAAGATATATGCACCCCTATGTTCATTGCAGCATTATTTACAATAGCCAAATTATAAAAGCAACCTAAGTGCCCATCTATAGATGAATAGATAAAGAAGATGTGTTTTATATATGTATATATATGTGTATATATATATATACACACACACACACACACACAGTGTAATATTACACAGCCATTAAAAAGAATGAAATAACGCCATTTGCAGTAACATGGATGGACCTAGAGATTGTCATGCTAAGTGAAGTAAGTCAGACAGAAAGACTAATATTATATGATATCACATATGTGAAATCTAAAACATAATACAAATCACCTTATTTACAAATCAGAAACAGGCTCACAGACATAGAAAAGAAACTTATGGTTACTAAAGGGAAAGGGAAGGGGGAGGGATAAATTAAGAGTATGGGATTAACAGATACACACCACTATATATTAAAAAGATAAACAAGGATTTACTGTATAGCATAGGGGACTATATTTAATATCTTGTACGAATAACCTATAATGGAAAAGAATCTGAAGCTGTACACCTGAAACTAATACAATATTGTAAATCAACTATAGTTCAATAAAAAAATAGTAAATTTTTTAAAAAAGAAAGAAAATGTGGAGCCAGCTTCAGCCCCTAAAGAAATCCTACCAGTGTGTAATGGAACTAAAACAACATATAAAATACCCACCCTTAAAGCTCAAGATCTAAATATTTTCAGTTTAGTAACCAATTCAGATTATGGTGTGGTCTCTGCATTGAAAGTATTATGATCCAGTAAAAAAGCTAAAGAATTAATATTGATTGTATAAATATTTTCTTATCATGTTTCTTTCTGTTCTCATATAATTTAGTGTCTTTTTTTTCTAGTTTATGTTATGATAGCAATTTTCTGCATAGCATCAGCAATGAGTCTGTACAACTGTCTTGCTGCACTAATTCAGAAGATACCATGTGGACAATGCATGTATGTATCTCTTATGAGGAAGCCTATAATGTTGGTTTTTGTAATTTAAAATAATACAAGGAAAAACAGCGTTATTTTAAACCTGTGCAGTCCAATATGCATGTCGCTATTTTAATTTAAAATAATTAAAATAATAAAATTAAAAATTCAGTTGCCCAGTCTCATTATCCGCATTTCAAGTGCTAAATAACCACATGTTGCTAGTGGCTACAGTATTGGACAGCACAGATATAAAGCATTTTCATCATCACAGTTCTACTGAACTGATAAATATTTTATTATGTATCATTTGTTATACTTAAAATCAAGACTTTTAAATTGATATTTCAAAAGTTTTCTTGTCACTGTGGCTAACATTGATTTGTTACATTAACTGAACATTGTGTTTCATCTACAGGGTGAATTAACCTATTTCACTCTCTCTTTTAGGATTATGTGTCGTGGCAAAAGCATTGAAGTGAGACTTATTTTTCTCTCTGGACTGTGCATAGCAATAGCTGTTGTTTGGGCTGTATTTCGAAATGAAGATAGGTATGAATACTCCTTGTATTTACTTTTAGATTAGTCTAAGGATGGATTACTTTATATCTTGCCTTGATAATTGTTCATTATGATTATTATGGATTTTTTTGGCTTTTATCCCAGAACATCATAGTCTTGAAACATGCTAAATAAATTCTTAAATAAACAGACCTTGTGCTAATGGATTTGAGGTTGTCTAGAGAAGGAAATAATGAATTAGGATTTAAACATCTAAGCTGAAATACGCTTCAAAAATATACTTAATTATGGTGTAGCCGCACAGTGGAGTGCAATGCAGCTGTAAAGAATGAAGATCTCTCTGAATTAATATGCAGTGATTTCCAGGATATATTTTTAAGTGAAAAAAGCAAAATATGAAAGAATATCTAGAGTATGCTACCTTTCATATGAGAAAGGAAATATCAGAAAATATACAGGTATCTGTCCATTTGCAGGAAGAATAAAAAATTTAACAGTTTATTAATAAAATTACTAATACCCAAAAGGATTTAACAGCCTAAAGTTTGGGAGCAAAGCTCATACAATTTCAGGCAGCTTCAGGTATGATAATTGGTAACTATTCATGTCAGTTGTCAGTTTCTGGTAGAGTATGTTGTATAGCTCTCATTTCCTTTATGTTTTAGCTATCTGGATGTATATTAACATCAATGTCCTTTGTTATGAGCTACCTTTCTTAAAAGAGACATGTATAAATTCAAAGATTAAAGATAAATATGCACTTGTGTGATATACATTCTTCTGAGGTAGCCTTTCAACTTTTTCTTAGTGTAGTAGTAGTATTCATTATTCTACTAGGACAGTAAATTACTAAATATGGAGAATATAAGAGGTTTTTCTGTTGTTATAATTGCTGCTTAATAATTGAATACTCATATCATAGCAATTGAACAGTATTACTTTAGTGATCTGTTTCTTTTGAAATGTTCCATTTAAAAATAACTGAGTAAAACAGTAGAGTAATTTCTTTTGATTTTAGGTGGGCTTGGATTTTACAGGATATCTTAGGGATTGCTTTCTGTCTGAATTTAATTAAAACACTGAAGTTACCCAACTTCAAGGTAAAGTATACTACTTTGCTAGCTAAGATAATTTTTTTCTTTTTAAAACAACTTTATTAAGGTATAATTTACAGATAATTAAATCACCCATTTCAAGTGTACAGACTGTTGAAATTTTACAAATATGTAACTTTGTAACCACCATCCCAATCAATTAGAGAATATTTCTTATCTTTTCAAAAGCTCTATCATGCCCTTTAGCAGTCAATCCTAATCCCCAACCCCAAGCAACCACTAATTTGCTAGCTAAAATATTTTTAATCATTCATATAATATGCCAAATTCATATAATCTGTGCAAGACTAGATATCAGGGAAGAACATTTCTTTGATTCAGAGATTTTTTTGTGTGTGGGCTCCTTAGTTGCGGAAGGTAGCTCCTTAGTTGCAGCTCATGGGCTCCTTAGTTGCGGCTTGCCTGCTCCTTGGTTGCGGCATGCAAACTATTAGTTGCAGCATGCATGTGGGATCTAGTTCCCTGACCAGGGGTTGAACCCAGGCCCCCTGCATTGGGAGCGTGGAGTCTTAACCACTGGACCACCAGGGAAGTCCTTCAGTCCTTCAGTCCTTCAATGCATATTGGACTGCAGAGGTTTAAAATAATGCTCCTGTTTTTCCTTGTATTATTTTAAATTACAAAAACGAGTACTAATGACTTAGGGCTTCCCTGGTGGTGCCGTGGTTGGGAGTCCGCCTGTTGATGCAGGGGACGCGGGTTTGTGCCCCGGTCTGGGAGGATCCCACGTGCCGCGGAGCAGCTGGGCCCGTGGGCCATGGCCGCTGAGCCTGCGCGTCCGGAGCCTGTGCTGTGCAACGGGAGAGACCACAGCAGTGAGAGGCCCGCGTACCGCAAAAAAAAAAAAAAAAAAAGAATGACTTAAAGCAGATAAAAGTTTGAATGTGATTTGTAGAATAAAACTACAAATAGTAATAACATTAAATGCCTTTAAAAAGTGTTCAAATGTATGTTACATGTTTATTTGTATTTGTAAAATAATATCTCTTAATTTAGATATGGGAAGTTTGACCTTTAAATTTGTTTCTTTCTTCAACAGTCATGTGTGATACTTCTAAGCCTTCTCCTCCTCTATGATGTATTTTTTGTTTTCATAACACCATTCATCACAAAGGTATGATATTTTTGAAATCCATGAGAAACATGCTAAAAGATGAGAATCTTAAACATGCTCTTAGAGTATTGACTTTGCAGATGTTTACCACTGACTTGAGTTTTAATTCTCTTAAGAGAATTATCATTGAAATTGGCCTTTTAGTAGAGGATATTTTTAAGCCTTTAAGCCATTCTGCTAAATAAAAAAATCTGTCCTGATTGATGTAAACATGAGAATATCTATAAATTTTCCTACCCATTTTAAAGTAACTTTTCTTATTATTGTAAAACTATAAATATGTGCTATAGAGAATATAGACAGCAAAAAGAATAAAAAAAGTGTCATTACTACTTTCATATCTGTAACCCTAGTGTGAGACTAAGAAAGAGCACCACACTGAAAGTCTGAAGACCTCAAGTGTAGGTCTGTAACTTTATAACCCTGGGCTGCTAGTCACTTAGCCCTCAGTTTCCTAATCAGTTAGGTGAGGGAGTATTGCTAGCATTCCATCCTCTCTTTCCATCAGTAGGATTCTTTTGGTTGCCACTGCCAGAACCCAACCTAACCTTTCTATATGAAAGAGGTCCCATCTACCCAGGACATGTGCAAAGGCCAGGTTGGGCCTGGCCTCAGGAGAAACTAGACTCAGGGGCACATGCTCTCCCTTTCTGCTTCTGTCCATATGTTCATTGTCTCAGACTGGCTTTTTCCATGAGTTTAGAATCATAGCACTCATTATCTGTCGAATGTTGACTGATCAAAAATCTGGAATCACTTGTCACGTTTTAAATCTTAATAAATTCTGCTATGAATGAATTTGAAAGTAATTATTGTAACACAAATAATAGTCCCTTCACTTATAAGTTATATTTGTTCTCATATTTGTATTTTTACTTTTCTCACGTGTTTTGACCCTCATAAGTGATCAATAAATATCCTTGGAATAAATGAAAGTAAATTTAAAAAAAATAGGTCATCTATTCCCAGCTTTACCATTAGCTCCTCAATAAAATCCTGGTGCTGTTCTTAGAATAAGGGAGAGGTGTTGGATGAGTGTGGTAGTCCTTCGTTGCCCAGTTTTTCTACCTTGTGCCTATTCCTGTCTCATGAACATATTTTTAATTATTGCTTAATTCTTCCACTTTCCCCACTTTGAGTCTTGCTTTGTAACTTTATATCATTTCTTTATCCTTTGTCACTCTCATATATTTAGTGTTTGATATTATAATCACTGCTTTTTTCCCTAGTAGTTCTTTATTCTTTAGCCCCTACTATCTGTGAAATCTCTGCATTTCTGATATTTGCTATAATGGCATAAGACAAATATGTGCTCCATTGGGGAGCTAAAATTGCAACTAGGTAACAAACGTAGTTAACTGTCCCAAAACATTAGCACCTTTCCATGCTTTAATGATGAGCCATGTGGCTCACTGACTTCATTTGCAATAGTAACCTAAAAAAGCATAGCACTAGTATTATGGATTATAACAAAATTGTTAATTTACTAAAGCATATTTTAAAGTTCTCTCCAAAGCTGTCCTAGCTTGTGTCAATTTATTTGGTTAAAAAAAATATGTTTCTATAAGTCACTCCATCAGAAATCTCATAATGAAAGTAAAGCACTCTCTCTACAAAGGCATTTCCATAAGTCAACACGTAGTTATACCATATGATACATATATTGCACAGTGGGCATAGCTATAAACTATAACTAAACTCTCTATTTATTTATTTTTGGCTGCATTGGGTCTTCCTTGCTGTGCACGGGCTTTCTGTAGATGCGGCGAGTGGGGGCTACTGTTCATTGAGGTGCGCGTGCTTCTTGTTGCGGTATCTTCTCTTGTTGCAGAGCACGGGCTCTAGAGTGTGCGGGCTTCAGTAGATGCGGCACATGGGCTCAGTAGTTGCAGCACGTGGGCTTAGTAGTCGTGGCGCGTGGGCTCTAGAGCGCAGGCTCAGCAGTTGTGGCACACAGGCTTAGTTGCTCCAAGGCATGTGGGATCTTCCCGGACCAGGGCTCGAACCCGTGTCCCCTGCATTGGCAGCAGATTCTTAACCACTGCATCACCAGAGAAGCCCCTAACTAAACTCTTTAAAAAATAATTTTTCCATTCTGTTTTAACACTAGTATCACTTTATAAATGCCAAACTTGTCTGCCAGCAAACTATGTCCATTCGCTACACATAAAAAGTTTTAGTATATTAAAGGTATATGGTAATAATAAAGATGTCTTTGAGTCTTCTTTCTTCTGTGCTTAGGGAATTTTTCATCTTCTTTTTTTCCTTCTTTGTTCCCAGTGACTAGGAATGTGATTTCTAGTAATCTGATCCACTGGAAAAGATTGAAGTGCTCTTTAGTGTTCACTGTTGTAGATTTACCTTAACACCTTCTTCTCAGTCTGGTTTGTTTGTTAGGCAACTCAAAATGAAAATTAGATACGTAATTTCTGATTTTTGTGGTTTTCACTGAAAATTTCAAGGATTAAATATTAGACATTCTAAACATGTTCTTGACCCTGGTATTAGTAGACTGTTAATGAGTTGGCAGGACAGGTAGCCATAGGAGTACCGGTAATAAGAGCCTGTCTTCATTTTTTTTTCATCCACCACCATACTAGGTATAGTATCTTGCAAATAGTAGTTACTCAGGTAGATATCTATGAATGTATAAGAGGATGTTAATAATGGTCTTCAGTTAAATGTTTTAAATAGCAATTCAAAAATGAACCAATGTGAACTCTATCTGGAAATTGAATCATATCATGGGAGTTTGTATTTAATATTAGTTTATTTTCATAAATTCCTGTGATTTAACCCTTCTGTAACCCGAAGCTTAACATGAGGAAAAGATTTCTGTAACTAAGGATTTTAGCCTTCTTTCTACTCAGCTCAGGTGTCAGTGAGTCTTAAAAATATTTTAAGTCTTCTTAAAAATACTCAAGTAATTTCTCCTATGCACCCCACCCACATGGCAAATAGGATAGTTAATCAATCAAATTTTCCTAAAATTCAGCATTTATTTATCTTCCGACTACCTATTTGGGGCATGTATTTATCATAATGTGAAGTGTAAGATGGGTGCTCATGCAGTCTTAGCTACATCTGAATGTTTTCCCTCTCCCCAGTAGATTTGGCTGTCAGGAAATAACTTTTTAATAAACACAGCCCACATAAAAAGACCTTAGGCATACACAAAGAAAAACTTCGGCTAAGGTTAATATTTTGATTGGTGCATAAAAAGCAGGCAGGGCTGAAATTGGACAGGAGTCAGGATAGAGAAATGTTCTCAAGTTCTTTAGGGCTGGGTCTTTTCAAGTTTGGCTTCATTGTTATTGTGGTGAGTAGTCGGAAGGTCAAATGTAAATAAAGTTACCAATATTTATTACAAATCTAAATATAAAAAATTTCAATATTTCTTGTGTGTCTGTTCATTGTTATTGCTAAGAATGACTAAGGACACATAGTATATGACAAATGTAATTAAAAGCACTTAAAATTTATAGCCCATTAGAAATGCTAGATATTAGTTGTCAGCATAAATCAGTGCTCAAACTCAATTGGATAATCTTTGTGTGGTTTATCTGTAAGTTTCTGATAATTGTTGAGCGCTGATAAAGTGGAACAGCATGCTAGATGAAATTTGTCTTAGATGACTCCGAGTTTTGCTATCTACAGAGACAGTTTTAAGAAAAAATCAGTCTACAACCCATTTTTCATCAGCTTACAGTAGGCCATGAGCCATGGGGTCAAATCTGTCTTGAACACTGGCAGATTGTTCCCTTTAAGTGATTGAACAATTTCTTTCACCTTTCTTCTGAATTTTAGAATGGTGAGAGCATCATGATTGAACTTGCAGCTGGACCTTTTGGAAATAATGAAAAGGTAGGGATGGCAATTAACTACAAATGGCTGCCAGTGTATGTGTGTGTGTCCAGTTAATAATTTTGCCTTCTTGTATAATTCATTGGTTACGTAGTGCATGTTAAGGTATTGTAAAACTTTATTTCTCACAAAATATAGCCCTTTTATTAGTTATTCTAAATTATTAAATACCTATTGACTTGGGTTTCATCCTAGAATGATGGAAACTTGGTGGAAGCCACTGCTCAACCCTCAGCTCCCCATGAGAAAGTAAGGATTGTATTTCAGATATGTTCATTGGACTTTAAATCATACCCTCTGAGACAAGACTCTTCTTTGGGGAAAAAAAATCCAGATTGCCAAAAAAAAAAAAAAAAAAAAAAAGTTTCAAGGCCTGAGTCCTATTTTTGGTAAAAAGGAAAGAGAAAAAGGTTAGATATGCGGATACTGGATTAATACTGTTAACCCTACATGTGTGTTGGGTTTTGTTTTTCCAAAACTACATATCTATTTCTTTCAAGCTTTCTATAAATTCAGAGTATATATATGCCTAATTTATGTTCTCTGATTCTAAGCTTTCCTAAAATGTTAATTCTCAAATGTTAAAACAATTATTCTAATATCATTCCTTCCATTTCTAAAGATATGGGTAAAGATTCCTAAGAGGTTTATTGGTGGCCTCTTTTTTTTTTTTTTGTAATTACAGTTACCAGTAGTCATCAGAGTACCAAAGCTGGCCTATTTCTCAGTAATGAGTGTGTGCCTCATGCCAGTTTCAATATTGGGTTTTGGAGACATTATTGTACCAGGTAAGCGGTTGTTTGTAACAATTTGAGTGGAAATATACTGATGGTTTAACATTGTCATATGTATAGTATCAAATGTCAAATGTTAAAAGTTACCTACTCTGTATTAAGTATTTCTGGCTATAGCTAGAGCTGGGATCAGCCACAGAGACAGAGGTGGAGAAAAAGTGTTTTGGGGGGTAGAAGATAAAGCCCAAATAGTAACAACCAAAGTATACTTTCCATGGCTCAAAAAGTGTCTTAGAAGAAGTAACTAGTATCAGTTTGACCTTCTTTCCCAAGAAAGTATATAACAAATCCCCTTTTAAAAGTTGAATTTAATATTACCAAATGTATCATAATAAAATAATAGCTATATTCTAGGAAAAGTGGTTTAGGAATACTAAGCAAGGTCATGACCAAGAGGAAAACATAGTAGAACAACAATAGCTTGTAGGGCACTATAATGCAAAAAAAATACAGCATGTGGTGGAAATTGATCACCTTCTCCTAGCATGTCTTCTCTGACAGTTATTGCAGTTCTGCATTATTTTCCTCACTGGGCTACCTGTAGAATAAAGTTAATCCCAGCCCAGGAATAATATAGTGTAGAAATAATTAATAATGTTTCTCAATCAGCTGAGAGTTTTTCCTTCCTCACTTTTCTTATAGTCTCCTTATGTACTAACTGCCTGTGGCTGGGTAAAGAGTACTGGCTCTTCTGAAAAAACCCTTTCATTGATATAGTAAAGCTGGATAGAGAAATAAGCAAAAACTGTTGCCGTGTGAGCTGGATCGCAAAGACCAGTGTAGCAGCTCTCTTAGCTCAGTGAGTCTCCATTCACATAATTGATTAAGTAGGGAAAGCATTCTGCTGAGTAAACTTAAGGTTTCTTGAATATCTTTAAACTTATCCCCAACTTTACCAGTCCCACACCATGTGCTATAAAAAGCACATAGCATAGAATTGGTGAAAATAGTGTGATCGTATGTAAATACTGCATTCTTGAAGTAAATGACAAAGGTCACTAACAAATATTTCCCCAAAAAGCAGAGTGTTTTATAATATGTGACTTAATTCTAAAAGCTAAATTCTAATTTGGGGGGGATGGATATCACTGTTTTTAATGTATGGAAATGTTGATTAAACAGCAAATATAGTAAAAAATAACAAGGAACTACCAAGAATCGTATTTGATTAATTATGTAAGGACCAAAACTAATTAACTGAAACAACTAATAAAGATAGTAAAATTATTTTCGGATATTTTTAAGCAGTTGAATGTCATTCTTACTGTTTCATAATAGTGTTTAGCAAATAAATACAGTCTGAGATTTCTTCTTTGGAGAGGTTCAACACATTTCTTAAATAGGTAATAAATTTTTTTTTCCTGTACACTTGCATGCTTACAAATTAAAGCTTATATTTCATTGCCATTTGAACTCTCTGTATTAAAATTCCAAATTATTTTATTCTCCTTGGAAAAGAGATTTCTTTGATCACAATTTGAAATTGTCTTCCTTGATGCTCTTTCAGTACATTTTTTTTGATGATACATTTAAAAATTTTTGTCAACACTAGAGACCAAATAGACTAGAGACATATACAGAATATTCCATCCAGCAACAGCAGGATACACATATTTCCGAAGCACACAGGGAACGTTTTCTAGGATAGATCATATGTTAGGCCACAGAACAAATCTTAGCAAATTTAAGAAGATTGAAGTCATACCAAGTATATTTTCTGACCACAGTGGAATGAAACTAGAAATCAGTAACAGGAGGATAACTGGAAAATTCACAAACACATGGATATTAACACACACTCCTGAACAACCAGTGGATCAAAGAAAATATTAAAAGAGAAGTAAAAATGTGTTGTGAGACAAATGAAAAGAGAAGCACAGCATTTCAAGATGCAGCAAAAGCAGTTCTAAGAAGTTTACACTGATAAGCATATACATCAAGAAAATAGAAAGATCTCAAATAAACAACCTTTCTTTACACCTACAAGAACTAGAAAAAGAAGAACAAACTAAGCCCAAAGTTAGCAGAATGAAAGAAATAATAAAGATTAGGGCAAAAATAAATAGAGAACAGGAAAATAATAGGAAAGATTAACAAAACCAAGAGTTGAATCTTTAAAAAGATAAACAACATTGACAAAACTCTAGCTAGACTAACCAAGAAAAAAAGAGAGAGGGTCCAAATCAGTAAAGTTATAAATGAAAGAGGAGACATTACAAGTGATACCACAGAAATATTAGAAAAATTTCTCCATGAGATGGAATATTAAGCAGCTAATAAAAATCTTATCTTTAAAGACTGTTTGATGGCTTAGGAAAATGTTTAATATATGGTATTAAGTTTAAAAAAATCAGCATGTAAAATTTTGTCCAGAATTTGAGGTAGTTTAATGTTCTAATGATGCAAAAATGAAGGTTAGATACAATACAACATGTTCTGTTGCCATAGTTAACAGTTGAATTTGTATTGCTGTTGTTGTTTTAAGAAAATAATGTAGAGTGTTTTTCTAGGCCTGTTGATTGCATACTGTAGAAGATTTGATGTTCAGGCTGGTTCTTCTATATACTATGTTTCCTCCACAGTTGGTAAGTTTTTGTTTTTTCTTTTTATTATATTGAATTGTACTGTCTGTAGGAAAAGGTCTAAAAATAAGGAGTCCTGGATTCTAGTTCTTCACCATGAATGAATCAGACATATTTTTTCCATCAAAAAGATAATTATACTTTACTACCTATATCACAAGGTTTTGGAGGTTTAAAAAGGAAATTATACGTGAAAGAAAAACTTTAGGTTCTACACATAAAATTCTTATTAAAGCACATGGCACATAAGTAGTCAATAAATTCTATAATACTAGATTTTTAAAAAATACAGTATAGGGACTTCCCTGGTGGTCCCTATACTGTTAAAGAATCCACCTTCCAGTGCAGGGGACATGGGCTCGATCCCTGGTCAGGGAACTAAGATCCCACATGCTGTGGGGCAACTAAGCCCACATGCCACAACAGCATGCCACAACTACTGAGCTCACTCACCTCAGAGAGCCTGCTTACAGCGAACTACAGAGCCCACACGCCACAACTACAGAGCCCATGCACCCTGGAGCATGTGTGCCACAACTAGAGAGAGAGAACCCGTATGCCACAGCTAGAGAGAAGCCCGTGTGCTGCAACGAAAGATCCTGCGTGCCTCAATGAAGATCCCACGTGCTGCAACTGAGATCTGATGCAGCCAAAAATAAATAAAATAAATAAATAATCTTTAAAAATACGGTACAATAATTACGTATTAATATAAATAAATTTATGGCACAATAACATTTCACCTGGGACAGCAGCGGTAGTTGTCACTCATCCTTTTATTTCTATTATCGAAAACAGACAGGAACAGGCTGTAAGCCAAAAAATACTTTTCTGCTTCTGAACATATCAAATAGATATCTCAAAGTCTGTACACCAAAGTTCTTTTTTCTTAGGTAAATGGCCTGCACCAGAGCCATTTAGATACTGTTCTAGCAAGGTTTTCAATTCCACAGTGGAATTAAATCTAGTAAATTAAAAGTGTACATTAGTGGTAGAAAAGGGTGTTGCTAGAAATAGTTACCCTGACAGTAAGAAAGAACAGCTAAGTAAGTGAAAGGATGAAAAAGGGGAAATTATAAAGAAATAAGAAAAGCAGTCTGAGGCCATTAAGTATAGTACTCCCAAAAGGTATTAACATATTAGAGTCCAGCACCAATCAGTGTGATAGAATAAAAGAACTCAATGAAAAGACAGATAATAGGACTGTCAACTCTGCTGTGTAACTTTGGGCAACTCACTTAGCTTCACTGGTCCTCCATTGTCTCATCTATAAAGCAAGAAGGTGGACTGCATTGTCCATAAAGGCCCTTCTAGCTCCAATATTCTGAGATCCTGTGTTCATGATGAGACCCTCAATCATTAATAAAAGATCAAATGACGTTTGGTATGCACTTGTTGAAGAAGACCAGGAAGTATATAATCAATATTAGGAAGATTTTTAAAAGCAAACTTTAGTACCTAGAGGCACAGATTTTAGTTACCTAAAATGTGGAACAACTCAACATCCTTAATAGTGGCAGATAATTGAGGCTTCCTTGAATTATTATCTTTATCAATGATTAACGATTAGGGTAATTATAATGAAACCACTAACCAGTTTCCAAATTTTTCAGAAGCTCTGTAGAATGTCTCTCCTAACTACTATCTAGGAAAATAATGAAATTATGAAAAGAAGTCATAGGGCAAAAACGTCCTTAGAAGTATTCGAAAACCAGTACTTTAGTGACAGAGTTAAAATCCACCTTTGATAGCATATAGAAATTGCTGATACTTGATATTCTTCTTGCAGCCTATGCCGTCGGTATGATACTTACATTTGTTGTTCTGGTGCTGATGAAAAAGGGGCAACCTGCTCTCCTCTATTTAGTACCTTGCACACTTATTACTGCCTCAGTTGTTGCTTGGAGACGTAAGGAAATGAAAAAGTTCTGGAAAGGTAGCGGCTATCAGGTATGTGCTTATATCTTGGTTACCAAGTTATCTTATGACACTGCCTAACTTTGGATGGGAACTGCTTGTATATATCAAAGCTTTTACATGCCAAAAAGTTGCCTTGAATTTGTCAGGATGTCCTAAGTTTTTTCCACTACTTCCCCCTTACTATTCACCTGCTGCATCATCAGTTCTCATCCCCACTGCAATCTGATGCCAAAATTTGGTGACTCAAGATAAAACTACCAAGAAGCATGGGAGGGCATCAGGGAAAATCAAAATGGCATTTCAACATGAGTTTTCAAAATCCACACAAAAGTCGCCTTCATGAAAGATAAAACCCTTGTTTAAGTAATAAATTTTGATACTGACATTAGCTATTTATAGTAAGAGTCCTGAGATTTTGCAGATAAAAAGTACTCTCTCCAGCATCTAAATGGGCCTAACGAAATGAAAGAGGGCACTCATTTCAGATTTTTTTTTTTTTTTCTGGTACGCGGGCCTCTCACTGCTGCGGCCTCTCCCATTGCAGAGCACAGGCTCCAGACACACAGGCCCAGCGGCCATGTCCCACGGGCCCAGCCGCTCTGCGGCATGTGGGATCCTCCCGAACCCATGTCCCCTGCGTCGGCAGGCGGACCCCCAACCACTGCGCCACCAGGGAAGCCCCTCAGATTTAAATTGATCAAGATTAATCTTTCTGTAAAATTCCTAGAACAGAGAATATCAGATACCAGAATCTATCATGTTTGAGTTATTTCTTCGTTGAAGTTAAACCCCTTTCTTCTTTTCCTAAATGTTCTTGGTATTCCTGTAAAGTTTGTTTGTTTGCTTCGAAATTAAAGAGGGTTGGGAAACCCTTGCCTGTTGAGGTCATGGTCATGGCATTGATCCCTTCATGAGGCAGTTAGCTCTTCTTTGCCGTATTACAACAAACTACCCTCTGTCATCCACCCTCATGCATGCATGTCAGTGATCACATGAACAAAAATAGAGATACTTTGGGTAGATGGCTGCAATTCTGTTAGTAGATAAACAGTTCAAAGTTCATATCCACCTTGTGGTTGGTTGTAGTGTCTTTTTTTTTGTTTTTTTGCGGTACTCAGGCCTCTCACTGTTGTGGCCTCTCCCGTTGCGGAGCACAGGCTCCAGACGCGCAGGCTCAGCGGCCATGGCTCACGGGCCCAGCCACTCCACGGCATGTGGGATCTTCCCGGACCGGGGCACAAACCCGTGTCCCCTGCATCGGCAGGCGGAATCTCAACCACTGCGCCACCAGGGAAGCCCTGTAGTGTCATCTTTATTTAACAAGAGGTGATTAGCACATTAAGTTAGACTACTATAATTGAAGAAAGCACCAGCTTAGAATTCTTTGGGTTAAGTCTTATAATTTCTTTGAGATTAGGATAAATACCTGCCTTTCCTACCTCACAATGCCATTGTCTCAACTTGTATTTATACACATAGAATTAGTTTATGGCCACAAGGTCCTTGACTAAACTAGTAAGACAGCTTGTAACTTCCATAAAGAGGACACCCACATGGAATGTTTTATAGATTTTGAAAAGTAAAAGTATGTCCTACAACACATACTCTAATACTTGTTTTGTTTTTAATATTTATTTATTTATTTGGTTGGTTGCTCAGGTCTTAGTTGTGGCAGGCAGGTTCCTTAGTTGCAGCAGGTGGGCTCCTTAGTTGTGACTCATGGGCTCCTTAGTTGTGGCATGCAAACTCTTAGTTGTGGCATGCATGTGGGATCTAGTTACCTGACCAGGGATCGAACCTGTGCCCTCTGCATTGGGAGCACGGAGTCTTAACCACTGTGCCACCAGGGAAGTCCCTAATACTAGTTTTTGAAAGTCACATCCCAAGAAGTGCTCTTTGTCATCATGTTTTAAAAATAGTTTTCTATTTCTTCACTTAGCAAATGTTTATTGAGCCAGGTACTGTTGTATGAGCTGTTGATAAAAGATGAACAAGTTAGAAGCAGGCCTACTCTCATGGCCTCTTGAAAGTTAGAGTCTAGTGGAGGATACAAATAGAGTCACTAACAATAAAGTGTGATGAATGTTAGTTATGGTAGGTGCCATGAAAACTAGAAGTGGGACACCCAGTGCTTATGGTTTTGAGACAGTCAAAGGTGATTTGAGGAAGGGAAGCTTCTTAAAGAATGTTAAGTTTATGGGACTTCCCTGTTGGTGCCTGGTTCGGGAAGATGCCACATGCCACAGAGCAACTAAGCCTGTGCGCCACGACTACTAAGCCTGCGCTCTAGAGCCCGCGAGCCACAACTACTGAGTCCACGTGCTGCAACTACTGAATCCCGCATGCCTGTGCTCTGCATCAAGAGAAGCCACCACAATAAGAAGCCTGCTCACTGCCACGAAGAGTAGCCCCCGCTAGCCACAACTAGAGAAAGCCCGTGCACAGCAACAAAGACCCAACACAGCCAAAAAGAAAAAAAAAGAATGTTAAGTTTATGTTGAGACTTTAAGACTGAGCCATGTTTTCCATATTGAGAGAACCATAACTTCAAAGGCTTGGAGGGGGCTTCCCTGGTGGCACAGTGGTTGAGAGTCTGCCTGCCAGTGCAGGGGACACGGGTTTGTGCCCGGGTCCGGGAAGATCCCACATGCCTCGGAGTGGCTAGGCCCGTGAGCCATGGCCACTGAGCCGGTGCATCCGGGGCCTGTGCTCCTCAATGGGAGAGGCCACAGCAGTGAGAGGCCAGTGTAGTGCAAAAAAAAAAATGCTTGGAGGGAAGAGCATTGACAGATTTAGGAACGAAATGAAGTTTAGGATGGCTATCCTATTGAGTAAGAATAGGGGAGCAGTAGGAGATGAAAACTGGAGAAGGAAGCAAGGGAAAGAGTCTGTAGGGTCTTGTAAGCCACGTTCCAGGGCTTGGACTCTATCCTAAGAATACTGGAGACCATTTTAAGAGTTTTAAGAAATCCAGAAAATGGATTGGAGGAGGGAGCAAAACTTGAGGCAGCTATTACAATTAGAAGCAGTGGTAGCCAGAGTTAGAAAGGTAGGGAGATTGAGAGAAGAGAACAAGGTCAAGAGAAATTTAGAGGCATAATTAATGTGATCTGGTGATAGATTCAGTGTTGGGAGAGGAAGTGGAGTCCAAGATTTTTGACTTGGGTAGCTGAGTGGGTGGATGGTGACACCACTCACTGAGATTAAGAAGGGCAACAGATTTGAGAGATAAGATGATGAATTCAATGTTGGACGTTTCAGAATACCTATGGGACTACCAGGAAAAGAGAAGTGAGCAGTTGAATAAACATCTCCTGATATGCAGGAGACAGGCCTAGCTAGAGACAGAAATTTGGGAGTGTCACTAGCATACTCCGTGAGTGAGAATGTAGAGGGAGAAGAAAAGGCTCAGGACAGAACTGTGGCCAAGAGGTTTCTCCTTTTAGGGGCACTTATCTTATTAACTGATTATGAGGTAAATCAGGACAAAGAGGGTGAGCAACATGGGGAAACTTTGTTTAGGGTTAAAGTTTAAATTTGGGACAGTTAATGAGAGCACATGGTACTATCTTACAGAATTAAGTATGTTTGTTGTTATTTTCATCACCAGCATTTTATTTTTACTTGTAAAATTTTCCTTCCCCTTTAATGCAGCTTTAAGGGTCGGGTGGTTCATTATAGCACCTTTCTCTCTCCATGCTTTTTATTGAGGAGAATGGGGATGGTGGGTAAGAATGGACTTCAACCAAGGGATGCATTTATATTCCCTATGAATAAGTGCTCTGCCCTGGACCATTCAAGTTTCATTCTTAAAAATTGTGACCTTGAAAGAAATGATGATTCTGATTCACAACAGCTACATATAAAGTTAAAGATCATTGCAGCTGGACACAAAGCCATAGTAAATAGTTACAGAAGGATGGTCTCCAGGGCCTTCACTCTAAGACAGAGACAGTAAATAAGACAGTTGATTGTAGGAAAATCCATCTTAAAGTGTCAAAAAATAAGACAATTTTGGTAATACACTTCTCACTTTTGTAGTGTGGTATCATAATTTTATTACATAAGGCATTCAGAATATAAAATACCACATAGTAATAAAAAGCATGGAGTCTGGTGCCAGACTGCCTAAGTTTGAATTCTGATTTTGTTAATTATTAGACATGTGACCTTAGGCAAGTTACTTAGCTTCTCGGTGCCTCAGTTTCCTCCAATGTAAGATGGGATAATAATCAACCTGCTTCAGAATGTTGCTGTAATAGATGCAAATTGCTTAGTACAGTACCTGGCACGTTGTTAGCACTATAAATGTATTTGCTATTATTATTTGTAGGAATTGAGTTTTCTTGTTTTGGTTTATTTGTTGGTTTGGTGGTTATTTTTCAATTCATTAACTGATTTCTACTTTCCTGGTTTGGATATTAAAACTTTGGGTCTTTGTTAAATCTGCTTCCTTTTAACTTACTTGTAAAAGGCCATCAGAAGCCTCAGAGAAAAGATTTTGTTAAACATGGTCATTTTCCCACAGAAAATATTAAGCATGGACATTTCCTGAAATTTTAGGCAAGCTAGTTGCAGAATATTATAAACTGCTGCCAGGAGAGAGTCTATTTTTCCAAAAAAACTAGCCTTTTTAAAAGTTATAGAATGTAATGCCTTCTGTTAATGTGAAAAAAGAAAATCTCTCATACCTTTTGTCCAACCTTTAAAGTCCAACTTAATTTAGCTCAAATGTTGTCATTTGTGGAAGACAGTATATTATAGCTTTGGCATCAGTTCTGGCAAATTATTTAATCTCTGAAGACTCCTCGTTCATAAAATGAGGTTGGACTTACAGGGAGGTAGGAGAATCTAACCTATAGAGGTAGGTTAGCCCAAAGCTTAGTGAGGCAAGTGGATGTTGAAATCAGATAAGGCTAGCAGAGGCTTTGGAAGTAGAACAGGGAACCTCAACAAGCCTGGGAAAATAAAGGGAGACTAGGTATGGACTTAGTGTAGGAGAGGCCTGAGAATCAGCCCTGAAGACAACCCTCAGGCCATTACTGGTTCATCTCTTTGGCTAACAGTATAATAATCCTTTCCCTCTTCTCTCCCTACCTCCAGTATCTCTTTCCAGAATATCCCTTATATAACTCCCAACTCAAGATCTGCCTTCTCCAAGCAGATATCCAAGAGTTCTCCAATTGAAATCAGGTTCACCTTTCCCCATATTTTCTTTAGACTTTGACTTTAAATACTTATTGACACCTGCCTTGTAGTGTAGATATTTGTGTGTGCTTCCCTCACTTAAGTTATTAGCTCCTAGGTGTTAGGAACCCACAGTGCTGATAACAGTGTTTTATACACTGTAAATTCTCAGTCTATGTTATTGAAATTCTTCATGCAAAGCAGTTATAATGTTCAGTCCTTAAGGCACTGACCTTTAATCACTTTTGTGTGTGTGTGTAAGCTTCTGGGTTGTGTTTTAGCAGCCTTCATAAAATTACCAAAAATGTTAATAAGGTATTGTAAAAGTGTGGCACTTTTGAAACATTAAACTAGACATATCTCTACAGTCTTTATATATAACCATTTTTTGCAAGTGCCAAAAGTTTTTGCTACTGTTTTGAAAAAAAAATCAAATGTAAAGCAAATAATATAAATTAAAATCAGAATCTAACAGCACATTTGTTTATGCTGTTATCATTTGATTCATTCTAATGCCTGATATTAGCATTGAGTGTAAGAGTAGTAGAAAGCAGGACTTTTCCACTGTAGATTTTTAAAAGTCATGGGTAGCCCTGATAGCCTTTTTATACTGTTTTCAAAGGACAAATTATACCTTGTTTTTTGCTGAAACTTAGAGACTTCATAGAGATACTTTAGTATTTTACTTGGAGTCATTCAGCCCTTCCATGAATTTCTCTAATCAAAAAAGTAAAGTTTCCTATAGGATTTCATTAAACGATACTAGTTTGGAAATCTTAATTGTATATTCTTTTCTATAGCTCAAAGCTACTTACACTATATTTTTTATGAACTATTTTTCTGGAGTGCTTTAAGAGCTACAATATTCAGTTTCCCTTATTTTATAATGAGTGTAGAGAAAGTTAAGGTGTTTTTTCTCTAAGGAGAAAAATTAAGCGGTGACATAATTACTTTGGCATATAGAACAATTAATAGAAATCATCCTTTGGGGAGAATTTTTTTTGTTTCTAATCCTAAATCAGTGGAGTTAGATTTATGCAGCAACCTCCAATGGGCTGTTTTACTCTGGGTGGGAAGTAAGTTTTCAGTTTGTTAGTATCCAGTAAACAGTGGGTTTGTCTCTGTTAAATGTCACTACTGCTTCTAATTATTTTTAGAAGTCACAAGCTGTAACTGACAAGTCAGAATACAGAAATACTTAGAACAACTCTGCTGTAGTATCAACAACTCTCCAGTTCCTGCACTTTAATGAGCATTTCATTAGGCTGTTTCTGGAGATTGGTTCAGAGCTATCAGTAAATGCCAGGTTAGTCGACCCAGTTTCAGAGAACATCTTTTCTAAATTAAGCTTGCCTATTTACAAATATTAAGAAAAAAATTTACATGAATTTTCTGGTCAATTTTATTATCTATGTTAATTTTTGTTGTGTTTTTAAAATCCTATTTCAAGTTTGCTCTTTATTTTTCTGTGTTGTTTTTTTTTGAAAAGTCAGTAAAGAAAAGTAAATACAGAGTAGAGATGTCACTTCTCAATAAGTTGATTTTGCAAGTTTTTTTCTTTTTAACTAATATATTTCTATATTTAGAGATTCAATTACAGTGCCAATGAGGTACCAGAGGATTAGGAAAGAAGAGGCACATTATAACTTAGAGCTATGTAGGCTATTATTTCATTAGGTTACAGCTACCAGGATCAGCAGGTCTTGGGGAAGAAAGAGGGTTTTTCCCCAACATCCATTCTGCAGTTCTCTGTCCCCACAGCTCCAGCCTCTTACACTGGAGTGTCTATAGAAAAAGAGGGAGGCTAAATATATCTTATGTGCTTCTTCTTTCCCTCTCTCATTTAAATTGTGACTAAAATCAGCTCTTCAACAACTTCGTCTTTTTGTTACCTATCTTGATTTGGCTTTTATGTGCCCCCCCCCCACCTACTGCAGAAGCGCTATGAATATGCAACTACATTAATCTAGGGGATATCTTTGGCAAATAGAGGACCTCAAAACTGATTGTTTAGGGGCTTGAAATGACTCACAGAGTATCAGCAGGTTTGGGTTTTATAAGCTGTCTCTGTCACTTGAGACAGTTGTCAGCTGAAAGCCTCAGCTCATGTTTGTATTCTTCTTTGTCTGGCATGTCCAGAGACCCCATTTGAAAATTATTGCTCTCTCTGCGTCCTCTTCCAAAAAACACTAAAGCTTTTAGAATCAGTTTATAAAAATGGGAACATTTATCTTGCTTGTCTTCTACTTCTTAGTAAAGGAGAAGGGAAAAACTACATCACAATATTTAAATTTAATCACCAATCTAAAAATCTTTGCCAATCTTCAGAAAGACATTAAGTACTTTTTCTTTTCCTATTTTTTTTATAGGTCACACTTTATTTTTTTAAATTAATTAATTTTTGGCTGCATTGGGTCGTTGCTGCACGCGGGCTTTCTCTAGTTGCGGCGAGCAGGGGCTACTCTTCGTTGTGGTGTGCGGGCTTCTCATTGCAGCGGCTTCTCTTTGTTGCGGAGCACGGTCTCTTGGTGTACAGGCTTCAGTAGTTGCAGCTCGTGGGCTCAGTAGTTGTGGCTCATGGGCTCTAGAGTGCAAGCTCAGTAGTTGTGGTGCACGGGCTTAGTTGCTCCGTGGCACGTGGGATCTTCCTGAACCAGGGCTCGGACCTGTGTCCCCTGCATTGGCAGGTGGATTCTTAACCACTGCATCACCAGGGAAGTCCCTTTTTTCCTATTTTTAATGAGTTTTATCTGAAGAACAGGGTAAAGACACTGAAAACATTTAAGTGTTTCTTCCTTCATTCCCAAACATGCAAAGATTTTTATGAGAATATGGGAGGAACTGAAGTGATCATTTGAGAGAAGTTCAACTGGTAATTCCCCTAAAATAGTCTATGGCAAGTATATTCTTGTTTTTGTTTTCAGATATCATTTGACTTTAATTTCTTTGCCCTTAGTAGAAATTTTTGTCATACAGTCTTTTTAATATTTCATGCATCATTTTTAAATGATCCTAAGGTCAATTCAAGGTGTCAACCAGGTTATACTGTCTCTGAACCAGCTAGTATTCTCACAGTGATTTGTGGTGCCATTTTTAGTTTTTCCACCTGTAGGAGTGGACACTGCTTGGAATAGTGTCCTGGAATAAGCATCAGGAATATCTTGTGATGGATATTCCCACTGCCATGCAGGGCAGTATTCATATTGGGAGATGGAAATAGTGGAAGATCCAGAGAAAGCACTTACCAGATTGGCCCTAGTGTAATGATTAAGCTTCCTGAAAGAGTAATGACTCTGAGCATGTCCTTCCTTAGGAGTGTGGATGTTGAAACAGTACATTGCTCCAAAAGGAGTGCTCAGTTCCATGGAGCACTCTGTGTCTCTTAAAAACTGGGACTCCTTTTGCCAAATTAGTGAATGCTGGGGGCAAGTTGAAAATTTGCATTTCCTAACATCTTTTATTTATGCCTAGATGATGGACCATCTGGACTATGCAACAAATGAAGAAAACCCTGTGACTGCTGGTGAACAGATTGTCCAATAATAATATTATGTGGACTTGCAATAATGTGTCAGTTGACTTTCTACAAATAGAGTTGGCCATTTTAAATTGGCTTTTGAATTGACAATCTGAAAGAAACTTCAATGCTGTGCTTGCAAATATGTATTTTTAAGAGCTGGTACTGACGACTACATGATAAGTAATTAAAATACATTTGCTTTTAACTACATTAAAGTTGTGCCTTCACATTAAATAAAAGCATATGGTCTGTGTAATTTTTAAGATGTAATATATACAGTATATTTTTCTAAAAAAAAAGTCTTCACCTGTACTTTTCTTACTGAAATCTCTTTCTTTCAACTCTAATGATAGTTAAAAGTATTTGTCAAAGTGAATTTCTGAGCAGATTTTACTGTAAAGAGTTATGCAAATTTTATGCTCTATAGAAACAACTGTTTAAGACCATGTAAGAAGGCAGTTCAGCAATGGAATTTTAGACCTTTTATCACTGCAGAGGTTAGAAATATATAATTTGGGAATATATATAAATGTGTATTTTTATAGCATAAGTTTAAAAAAATCCCAATCCTTTTTTAAACTTGAGAACCTAAATTACTTCAGACTACATATGTATTATATTAGAATATTTTTCCAGATATAGAGAAACATAATATATAGAACTAGTCATTAAAAGGAAACAAAAACTGAAATCCACAGTTTTCAGTTCTGCTGTTTCCTTGAAGATGTAGCTTAAATTTCTAATTCCCTACTCCTTTCTCCATAGGAAACCACTGTTAACTTTTTAAAATTTGGATGGAGAGTGGTTTACTAATATACAAAGTGTGCTTCAGAGAAAAGAATTGGAGACAGAAGACAGGAGACTGGGTGTTAGTCTCAATTTAATTACAAGAGTTTGAGTAAATTTTATTAGCTCAATAGAACTGTATCTCAGCTTTCCCATCTGCAAAATGAGTATGTTAGACCAACTAATCACTTTGGTATCTTCCAACTTGAAAAAATCTTTCTCATTCTTTGCTAAATCTCAGATGTGGACTTGAACATTATCCTGGGAGTCATAGGTCACATTATCTTTCCATTTTCTTTTATTTTCTCTAAGAAATTCCCAAATGAAAAGTGATTGCAAAGACAGCAGGATTTTGTATTTCTCTGTGAATAATGTACAAGATACATGAACAAATCCATGATTTTTCATCCTAAGGCCAGTTTAACTGATTAAAAGATAAAGCTAATGCCTTTAAAAATGGATCAGACCTTTGATGTTTGAACTAAATTTAGTATTTGAGGGAATTAGATGCTTTTGATTAATTGTTAAGTTGCTGGGTAATTTATAGACGTAGAAGCTCCCTTGACAGTCAGCCCTTCTTTCTACTTAATACACTTATGGGTCATTTGGTTTATGGCAAATGACAAATAAGTATCTGACAAGTAAGAGTTCATGTTAATTTTGCCTCTATAATATAAAGTTTTAATTTTTTCCAAAGAATTTAATTTATTTGGCAGACTCTGATAGAGAGAACAGATTAAGTGCCATGTTAAAGCTCCAACTATATTTTCATTTATAATATCAATAAAATGTTTGCCAAAATACAGCTTTTTTAAGTAAAATTATCTGCATTCTTATCCCAGCTTTAGAATATTCAAAAGCCTCAACCACATTTTATGAAGAACGTTAAGAGAAAATTTTACATCTAGAAGTCTGGAATCTTAATTCTTTGATGCAAATTCTACTTTATCCAACCATTAGTTATCAAGAAGGTATAACCTTGTTCTAGTTTGCTATTTAAATCTTACAGATTAAATAGAAATCACATAAAAAGTGAAATTTCTTAAGTTTCTCCATCTTCAATATCAACTTTATATTGTACTTAGTCCTTCTAGCAGCTGAACTGAAAATATTTATAGAAATTACAATAAAGTGCAGAAATATTTGGGGAATCAAAATATAAGCAAAAGATAGCAGAGATGGAAATTTGGCTTTAGAAGACTGTATCATTTCTTCCTCTCTTGCCCTCCTACCACCAATAACTTTAAGGGGAAGAGAAGTTTGGTTTTTTCCTAAACATGTCTTTAAAACAATAAGAAATATTGTAGGAGATTACTTACTGCAAAAAAAAAAAAGTCTGAGAAATTCCCTATGAACATTTTTGTAGTTTATCAAACAGAAATTATTAAATACCTCAAATTGTAAAGTCAATGATTTTTACTTCAGTTTAGTTCAGCAAAGATAAATATGAGGTTTGTGGGAAAGGACTTTGATATTTTACGATGTTATGTTTCCTTCTAGCTTGTAGATTTTTTTTTTTAGATTAGCAATACCTTATTAGTAGACTCAGCAATTTATTTCTCTTTTGAAGGAAGAAAATTTTAACCCATCTGCTGTTGGCATTCATTGATGTTAGTTACATGTTCATAGAGATTTTGATGAAATGGTACATTTAGAGTAAATACAAATGAGCTTTCCAGTTTTCCTTTGTTTTTTTAATTTCTGCCTTAGATATAAGCAGAAACTAATTTATTTAAGTTTGGTCTCTAAAATGTCAACTTGATCTCAGCTAATGAGACTTCACAAACAGGAATTGCTTTTCAGACTAGTGGATTGTACTAGTTTGAAAGGCTTCATATTTTCCCATTAACAAGGAAAAAAGTTGTTATGCAAACAACCCATTTTACAGTTTAAAAAATTTATTTTCAGTGCTCTATTTACCTCAGAGGTAATTCTAAAGGAGGTAGGGGAGGGTAATGAAAATAAAATCAAAATACTGAGTAAAAATCAGTTTATGCTTCCTGGAAGAAAGATACTCTATAAATTCAAGAGATCTGAATCAAATGACTTAACCTTTTGGAATTTGAAAGAAATTATGTAGTACTCACAATTTGGGCTACTGAATTTTCAGAGTAAACAAAATGATTTATAAGAGTAATATACAGGCCATATTACAGTGAAAATCATATATGTAAATTTTCTTGTTTAATGTTTCCATAAGGACGGCTTTTTGTATCTAAGAAAATGTTCATTGGGGAAAATTTTTTTAACTAAATTTTTTAGAATAGTCCTACATTATTTGCAATTCAGGGGCGACTAAAAGAAAAAAATGTGGAATATTTAATGTCATTATTTGTTTCTTTGATTAGGCATAAAAAGTAAACAACTTATTTTGCTTTGGAATATGGATTTTTTTTCAGTATCTAAAGTTTATCTGGTTAGCCTTGAGATTTCCCAATGAGACAAGTCAATGTAAATTATGTGGGTTTTGCTTGTTTTATACCTTCTGTTGTCTTTTGATCATATGAGAACCTTTTTTAAAGTACATGACTGAATTTTTACTTCTTAGATGGAGGTTAGAGTGTGAAATTCTTTTCTTTTAACACTTTGATATGTTAGTGTAAATTAGTACTTTAATAGCACTACTAGGCTTTATTTTTTTATGGAACATGATTTAAAATTTTTTGAAGTGTTAATCTGGCAGTGCTTTAAAACTCTTCATTATGTGCCAATACTGACAAGAAAAACAGTTTTTTTAATGTATTGAATTCACTATGGTATTCAATAAATTCTATTTTAAAATAAAATTTGAGTTTGTTTTATTTTGAATGGTGAAAAATAATTGAAAATGAACTAAAAGCTACTAGATCATGTTCACATAAGGTGAAAATGATAATAATCACTTATGAAATTGTGTGGTTATTTTAAATCTGACAAATTATCCGTAAAACCTAGATTCCATAAGTGTCATTTACTGGAAATTTATATTGATACATAATAGCTCTTAATAAATATTTATTGAATTGATATATCTATAGACTTTTTTTTACCAAGAAACTATCCTACCTGTTGTAATGAACATCCCTGACATTTGCAGCTTTGCTTATGTTCTCACAAATTACTAAGATCCCTGCTGCCATTGTACGGGGTATTTTTTTTTTTAAACTTAGATGTGGATGGCCCAGATATGTATCTGTAGTGGTTTTGTCTCGACCATATGTTGAGGAGTCCTGTTCAGAGGAACCTTGTTTCATCCCACAGGCCCATATACCTGAAAAGATGCATAAGAAACTGGAAAGAGAGGCTCTCTTTAGGAAGAGAGGGGATAAGATGGGTTGAGCACAGGAGTGAGAGGGAGAGTGAGAGTACCTTTTACATTTTCTATCATATACTTCTATTAAGATTCAAAATACAAATCATAAAAATCTATTGAATTATTTTCCTCTTAATAGGTATTCATACTAATAGACGGTTAACTAATAAATTACTCATATTTTTCTTAAGATAGTAAGCCTTGGAAACAGTCTAATATGTATAGTGGGAGTAAAGGGAGAAATAACCAGTTGTCATGTTTTTTGTCTTGAAATTTATGTTCTGTACAAATTTATTAGCTTGAAATTCATTTTTTGCTAGAAAATAAGAGTAGAACTAAATTTTATGAGCTCATTCCCATTTCTATAATCCCATGAAGACTCTAGAATTGAGATCAGAAGTTCTCAACTTAGTATTTCTTTGTGGCCTTTAACCAAATGACCCACAACAAGTTAAAAATAAAGCAAAAGTGGGAATTCCCTGGCAGTCCAGTGGTTAGGACTCAGTGCTTTCACTGCTGGAGCCAGGGTTCAGTCCCTGGTCTGAACTAAGATCCCACAAGCTGTGTGGCATGGCCAAAAAAAAAGGCAAAAGTAAAAATAATGAATCACTGAAAAGCATTGACAATGGAAAACAATGTCCAATTCCAGGAAACACTAATGATAACAAAGTATCCTTCCTAAAAATTTTGGAAATTTCAACTACCTGCATATGAGCTCTTAGACACTTTGCATTTGCAGCAGTAGCCAGACTCGGCAGAATTCTGGAGAGAGAGCTCTGTAAATTGCAGTAAGGCACTAATTCTTAACAGCTCTCTTAGGAGGTTATGGGTACAGTAAGTCCCCTACATATGAACGAGTTCCATTCTGAGACCGTGTTCGTAGGTCCAATTTGTTTGTAAGTCCAACAAAGCCTAGGTACCCAACTAACACAATCGGCTATATAGGGTAATAGGTTTATAATACTTTTCACACAAATAATACATAAACCCAAACACAAAAAATAAAACATTTTTAATCTTACAGTACAGTACCTTGAAAAGTACAGTAGTATAACACAACAGCTGGCATACAGGGGCTGGCATCGAGTGAACAGGCAAGAAGAGTTACTGACTGGAGGAGGGAGAGGAGGTGGGAGATGGGAGAGCTGAAGGATCGTCAGCAATAGGAGACAAGGAGGGCAAGCTGCAATTTCACTCATGCCTGACGTTGATGGCACAGGTTCTATTTCCTTGCTGGATTCAATTCTATCGACCCTCTTGAAAAAATCGATCCAGTGATGTCTGGGTAGTAGCTCATTTTTTCTCGTCATAGATGACACGGTAGCACTGGATTGCATTCTGAACAGCTGCTGCAAACTTCGTGTACCATGCTATGTTCTGGTCCTGTGCCTCAAAAACTAACAGTGCCTCGGGACTTCCCTGGTGGTGCAGTGGTTGAGAATCCGCCTTCTAATGCAGGGGATGAGGGTTCGATCCCTGGTCAGGGAACTAAGATCCCACATGTAGCAGGGCAACTAAGCAGGCATGCCACAACTACTGAGCCCACGCACCACAACTAGAGAGAAGCCCGTGTGCCCCAACAAAAGATCCCACGTGCGGCAACTAAGAACCAACACAGCCAAAAATAAATTAAAACAAAAACAAACTAATAGTGCCTCCTCAAATAAAGACTATCCCCTTGCCATTTCCTGCATAGTGCATCTCTTTAGTTCTTCAATTACTTCTTCCTCTTGTCTCTCTTCGTCCTTTCTCTGGGCTTCCAATTCCATCAGGTCTTCATTAGTAAGCTACACAAGGCAAGTCCACAACAGCACAACCACTTGTAGAGAGGGTGCATGCACGTGACAATGTATGCCAGACATGTGAACTAACGTGACTGGACACGTGAACACAGGTTTGCATCTTTGAAAGTTCACAACTTGAAAGTTTACTGTAAATAGTTCTTGACCTTAGCTGTAAATGAAAGTCTATGGTTTGGCATGTCATTATGTTAAAAGCAACTTTCCAATTTAGATCATAGGGTCACTTCTTTAGATAAGTGGGAAAGGTATCAATTGGATTCTAATTAATAGTTATGTGTTAATAGGCTCTGCTAGCTATGGAAAACCAAGTAATTTTTTACAAATGAAGAGTGCTTCATCCAAAAATTTATTATATGTGTTTGGAACACTGATTGAAGCCTCACGTATTATTATTTTTTCTATAAAATCTACCCCAGCCCCTTTCAGTGCAGAGAAATAAAATAGACAAATTCAAATGCCAAGTCCTCTCCATACTCTTCTAAACGTCTCTCAAAGAATCCTGGTACTCGCCATCCCCACTGCCACTAACTCAATTTAATTCATCTGTACTGTAACAGACTTTTAATTGGTCTTCCAAATACTAATTTCACTATCAATCCCCCTTCCATATCATAGCCAGTGATCTTTCCAAGATAAAAATCTAATCATGCAATTCAAGCACTTTAAAAAAACCTTTAATAGCACCAAATTTGTTTAAGAATAGTCTAGATACCTTAATGTGGTTTTTCTAGTCCCTGTTTCTTTCCAACTTAATCTCCCATTATTTTCCTCTCCTTCATTCCTGCCCCCTTACACTCTTCCTAGGAAGCTCTTCTAAGCACACTCCCACCTCCCACACCCAGCCATCCCCTTCAAATCTCAGTTTAGGTATCACTGTTTGGAATGGGAAGAGATAAATGTGGAAAGAACAAATACAATTCCTTTATGGAGTTTTATTAAAAAGGAAGATGAGAAATGGGCTCAAGAAATAAGTTTGGTAAATGGGAAAAGAATTTGGAAAAGAATAGATACATGTATAACTGAATCACTTTGCTGTACACCTAAAACTGTCACTGTCACAACATTGTTAACCAACTATACTCCAATATAAAATAAAAAGTTTAAAAAAATTAAAAAATTTTTTTTAAAAGTTTGGAATGGGGGTGGGGTATTGACAAGGGAAGAAATAACAGCATTTGTGAATGTTAATGGGGATCCAATAAAAGGGGATATTTTGATGATGTTGGAAAGAGATTGGAGAATTAACTAAGTTTATTTCCTTAAGTAGGCCAGAGGTGATGGGATCTAGTGCCCAAGTGGAAGGGCTTGCATTAAACAGAAATATGGAGCGTTTGCCTCCAGTAACTGGAGATAAGGTAGTGTATGTAAGTATAAATGCATAATAGGGAGGTAGGTGTGATAGGTGTGGGCATGGAAAGTTCTTTTCTGACTGCTTTTATATTCTGCCAATGAAGTGCTAATCAGGGTCATCAGCTGAGTCAGTTTCGGGAGCAGATGCAGAAAGTTTGAAGAGAAAGAAAAAAGTTAATCTTTCAAAAGTAAGAATGATTGGTATAGGGACAGGTTCTCAAAGTGTGGTCCCTGGCTCAGCAACTGCATCACTTGGTTAAATATGCAAAATTTTGGTCCCCACCCAGACCTGAATCAGAAACTTCAAGGGTGGGGCACAGCAATCTGGTTTTTAACAAGCTTTACAGGTGATTCTTTTACAAGCTAAAATTTGAGACCAGGCATATCAGACTCACTTGGAAGGCTTATTGAACCACAGGCAGCTGGGCCCCAGTCTCAGATTTTCTAATTCAGGTCTGGGGTGGAACCCAACCAAGAATTTCCATTTCTAACAAGTTCCCAGATGAAGTTGGTACTGCTGGCCAGCGGACCACACTTTGAGGACTACTGGTCTAAGGAAATATAGTATGATATAGTTGCATCAGGGGCATATCATGAGGTCCGTAGTCTTAAATTTAAATTGGACTTTCTGTTTGTGTGTGTATGTTTCCCCAGCCACATTCAGTTATACAGGTATAATATTGAATTGAACCAGGGCTGTGATTTAGCCAAGCAAATTCAAAAGCAAAAGAGGAGCAAGGGAATTTAGGATGTGTGTGAAGGAGTGCATATAACTTATTAACCATGAAATTTAAGCTAGGTAAAGAAGAACATGAGGGTTTGGGGGGGCAGTAAATGATGGTGAAAAGGTGTTAGGATAAATGCATTATACATACCTATAGAACTGAAGGATTGTTGGGTTTGGAATAGTAGAAAAAGTTCAATAGATGGAAAGTGGTGGTCCAAGATGATTGTTAGAAGTGGAAATTATGAGGAATTGCCATTACTGGTAATGATAAGGTCAATGTAGGTTTCCCAGATCAAATACATGATGCCCATTTAAATTTGAATTTTAGATAAACAATGGATACTTCTTAGTGTAAGTATGTTCCAAAGTATACTTAGAAAGGGTTTATTTTCATCCATTATGCTGATCTTACAATGGGACCCTTCAGCCTAGTAACCTCTGTCCTTCAATTTTGGGATATTTTCTTAAATTATTTGGTTATTTCCTCCCCTTCATTTTCTCTGTTCTTTCTTTCTGGAATCCCTAATATATTGATGTTGTACCTCCTGTCTTACCTGTTTTCTCAAATATTCCACCTCTTGTCTTTTTGCCCATTATCTGGAAGATTTCCTTAAC